TTCCGAGGAACATCAGACCATTTGAACGGTCTGCTTATTTCAAGATCTTAACTGGAGCTTGAACACAAAGAGCAAATCTGATCAAGTTATCTTCACCTCCTTGAAGTGTTAATAAGTTTTGGAAGCTGCAACTGACTTGGATTTCTTTACTGGTGATGAGCCCAGACTTTCAAAATCCTTCACTGTGATCATGTTCTTTCCCTTCCATTATTTACTGGATTGAGGCAGTTTTATCTTAAAACCACAAAAATGTAAAGTATCCTATAACATCTCCGTAGAAAACAATTCCCAAAGGACAGGAACAGGTACCTCTTCTATCTCAAAGATGTGTTTAGCCATTATTTGGGTTTTAGATAACCCCAGGCCATAAATACTTGGCCCAGAGTTGCCTTGATAAGCTCTACTATCAAGATTATGCAAAAGGTATTCCAGACAAGAGATGATAATAGCAGACAGAGAAGTTGTCTCCTCGTTTATCCTAACTAGATGGACACTGTGCTCAAATTTCAGTAAACAAAGCGATGCAGAGGGAAGGGAACCAAGTGCGGGAAGCGCAGTTGAAATCCATGAGCACCAAATAGTCAAGAACCTTACAGAAACTGTACAATTTACAAGGCCATCAATAGTAGACTGGTTCATTAAATTACAGTACAGCCCATACTATGAAATACGGTAAGCCAGGAAAAAGAATTAAGTAATTCTATACATACAGAATGAAAGATCCCCACATAAATTGTTAACCTCAAAAAAAAAAAAAAAAAAAAGTTGTGACCGGGTACAGTAGCTCCCAGCACTTTGGGAGGCCAAGGTGGGAGGATCACTTGAGGCCAGAAGTTCCAGACCAGTCTAGGCAATACAGAAGACCCTGTCTCCACATTAAAAAAAAAAGGCAAGTTGCAAAAACGCTGGTCATAATGTGATTCTATTTTATGTATGCAGGATATATTTTTGATTACATGATAATCATGGTTACCTCTAGGGATTGGGAATATGTGCTGAATTTTCAGGTTTTCCCTTACATACATCTTTTTGTTTTGTTTTGAGACGAAGTTTCACTCTTGTTGCCCAGGCTGGAGTGCAGAAGCGCATTCTCGGCTCACTGCAACCTCCGCCTCCCGGGTTCAAGCGATTCTCCTGTCTCAGCCTCCCAAGCAACTGGGACTACAGGCGCCCGCCACCATGCCCGCCTAATTTTTGTATTTTTAGTAGAGACGGAGTTTCACCATGTTGGCCAGGCTGGTCTCAAACTCCTGACCTCAGGTGATCAGCCCACCTCGGCCTCCCAAGGTACTAGGATTACAGGCGTGAGTCAGCACGCGGGCCATTCCTTTACATACTTCCACATTAATCTTTTGTTTTTCTTAATGGTGAGCATATACTGTTTTTGTCATTTTAAAATCCTCAGTAAAGATTTAAAAGATTAAAGGAAAACAACCAAATGAAATGGGGGTTGGGGAGGCAGTGATAAAAATACACGAAATCATTAAATGTGGTTATTCTTAGGAGTATTTTTTTCTTCATTCTACTTTTCTGCATTTTGCAAATGTTCTAAAATGATCAATAATTTTATGATGAAAAAATCATTTTGAAAACACTTTGAATATATAGAACAATATGTATATTATGCTACTATTTATGCACAAAAGGATACTTAAGTAGACATATATGTCTATTCTTGGAATATGATACAAGAACCTGGAACACTGACACTCTTCAGAGTGAAACTGGATCTCCCAGGGGACAGCAGAGGAGCAGGCTTTTCATTCTCTATCCTTCTGTAGAATAACTTTTGAATTTTACACTGTATGCCTATATTAGCCCTTTGTAAAGGTTAAAATGTTTTAAAAATGAAAACCATTACATCACTCTGCTAAATTTGTTTTGAAAATATTATCTTCATCAGGTTTTATGAGGCGATTGTTTTGAAAGGGCAAGAATGCTTGTTGATTGTTCATTCTTTGTGACGACCTTTGCATGAGTCATCGGCTGCACGACAACGCCAGGAAAGGGTTTTTTAAGTAGATGAGGAAACTCAGGCTCAGAGAAATTCAACGGCCCGCCTGAGGTCACATGGCAAAATGCACTGGAGTTTGAACTTGAGACTATTTAGCACTGAAGTTCTTGCTGTATCTACTCTCACTGGCTGACTCCTGGCGAGTAGAAGGAGGTAGCCACCAACCAGTGCTCACATATGGCATTTCTTTTTTTTTTTTTTTTTTTTAATTAATTAATTATTTTTTATTATACTTTAAGTTCTAGGGTACATGTGCACAACGTGCAGGTGTCTTAGCATATATAAACACTTTCTTTCTTTCCTTCTTTCTTTCCTTCTTTCTTTCTTTCCTTCCTTCTTTCCTTCTTTCGAGACAGGGTCTGGCTGTTGCCTAGGCTGGAATGCAGTGGCACGATCACAGCTCATTACAGCCTCATATCCTGGGCTCAAGCAATCCTTCCACCTCAGCCTCCTGAGTAGCTGGGACTACAGGCATGCACCACTACGCCTGGCTAATTTTTGTTTATGCCCCCACTGATCTCGGACTCCTGGGCTCAAGCGATCCTCCCGCCTTGGCCTTCCAAAGTGTTGGGATTTTAGGCGTGAGCCACCGCGCCAGCCACATATGGCATTTCTTTTTTTTTTTTTTTTAATTTAACTTTTATTTCAAGTTCAGGGGTACATGTGCAGGTTTGTTATACAGGTAAACTTGTGTCCTGAGAGTTTGTTGTGCGGATGATTTCGTCACCCAGGTATTAAGCCTAGTACCCATTAGCTAGTCTTCCTAATCCTCTTCTTCCTTCTGCCCACACACAGCATTTCTTTACCTCTTGTCTCAACTTTTGTTTTCTCTCGGATTTCAAATGTAAATATTTGGCCAGACACAGTGGCTCACGCCTGTAATCCCAGCACTTTGGGAGGCCAAGGCAGCCAGATCACCTGAGGTCAGGATTTTAAGACCAGCTTGGCCAACATGGCAAAACACTATCTCTAATGAAAACACAAAAATTATTCCGGCATGGTGGGGGGTGCCTGTAATCCCAGCTCCTCCGGTGGCTGAGGCAGGAGAATTGCTTGAACTCAGGAGGCAGAAGTTGCAGTGAGCCGAGATTGCACCACTGCACTCCAGCCTGGGCGACAGAGTGAGACTTTGTCTCGAGAAAAAAAAAAGAAAGAAATGTAAAGATTGATCATTAGTGTTTAATGAAATCCTGTTATTTGAATACAATCCCTTATTTCACAGAAAAAGGACAGCTGGTGAACCGTGTGCGCTCATATCCATAAACTCCAAGGGTGTCTGCGCAGCTTTCCTGACACAATGCCTTTGCGGGTACCCATCTTGATGGGAGAATGTGTCTTGCAGGTTCAACCCCATTATGCGCTTGCAAATGGCATAACTAGGCTAACTCTGGCCTAGCTTCTAACTCTTCTGAATCTTATCGTTGATTTATGAGGCAATGTTTACGTGATCGTGCTTGGCCATAACTCACAAAACCAGGAAGCTAAGCAAAGCCAATTTCCAACAACCTCACTGCTCGGAGCCTTTTCTCAAACCTGGCCACGTTCACACTCTGCTCCTCAATGGCCTCCTCGTCCGTGCGGCTCCCAACATCCCTGTCTTCCTCACTGATGCCTCTGCCTCACCCCTCTCACCTGACACTACGCTCTGCTTCTCCGTCCTGGTTCTTTTGCTTCCTTTCTCAGCCAGAAGGTGCCCTCCTCCCCTGGTTAGGCCACCTTTTGCTGCCCAGGACAGACACTCAGTCTCATCTGTACCTGGGACTCCATCTGCACACAGGACTGCTCTGGCAAAGCCCCTCCTACATTTGGCCTCACAAGTATGGACTTTTTTGGGGGTGGGGGGGACGGGGTCTCGCTCTGTCCCCCAGGCTGGAGTGCAATGGCGCGATCTCGGCTCACTGCAACCTCTGCCTCCCGGGTTCAAGCGATTTTCCTGCCTCAGCCTCCCGAGTAGCTGGGATTATAGGTGCCCGCCACCACGCCCAGCTAATTTTTGTATTTTTAGTAGAGACAGGGTTTCGCCATGCTGGCTGGGCTCAAGCATGGACATTATATGAGTGGAAGCCAGCACTAGTAGCCACAGTCTCAAAGCATCTTATGTGGACAGGAAGCCCCCCTCCAAGAGTAGAGCTGTTGACTTAGAGAACAGTGGCCTAACCTCCCTGAAGGCAGGGACTTGGCGTTGTATACATTCCCTGCCTGTTCCTATTTCAGTTCCTGACACATGGAAGGCGCTCACTATATATTTTTAATAAATTAGTTAATTGATTAATTACATTTTAAATAATTGTAGTATGACAGTTTCATAACTGTAAAGCTGTAGGAGAGGGCATGGTCTGACAGCCCCACCAACGCTCATGAAAGGCGCAGGGTTTGGGTGACTTAGCTGAGCCATCATGGCCATCTAGTGGCAGAACAGCGACATCACTGGTTTAGTCGGATAGTGGAGTGGTTTTTGTTTTTTGTTTATGAGACAGGGTCACTCTGTCGCTCAGGCTGGAGTGCAGTGGTGTGATCTCAGCTCACTGCAGCCTCTGCCTCCCGGGCTCAGGCAATCCTCCCACCTCACCCTCCCGAGTAGCTGAGACTATAGGCTTGTGCCACCACGCCTGGCTAATCTTTGCATTTTTTGCAGAGATTGGGTTTTGCCATGTTGCCCAGGCTGGTCTCGAACTCCTGGGCTCAAGTGATGCGCCTGCCTCAGCCTCCCAAAGTGCTGGGATTACAGGTGTGAGCCACCGTGCCTGGCCGATCATTGTTTTGCTTTGTTTTAAGATAAGTTATAAAATTAAAATGTTGATAGCAGGGTGGGAGGTGGGGAGAGACAAAAAGAAAAAAAGAAAAAAAGTAAAATGTCAATAGCAAACATATTGTAATATAAGAAAGAGAGAGAATAATGAACAGAGGAGTCAAAAGATGGGAGTTAAATTCTTGGGAGAGCTGCAGAAGGGGAGTGTGGGGAGAAGGGGCCAGGTGGCTCCTGTACTTGTCAAAGTTGACATCCAGCATGCCCGCCTTCTCCTGGCTGATTCGCAGCAATGGGGTATCCAATCGCCGAATGCAATCCTTGTCCAGTGTTGATGTCCACTCTTGGAAGGTTTTTCGAACCAGCTCATCAATGGCCTGGACCATCTGCTGATAGGTGTGCACACTCTCCTCTCCAGTCCCAATATGGGGCAGGAAATGAGCACCAGCAAGGCACTGAGGGGAAGAACAGGCAGGTGGAGCCGGCCTGCCACCTTCCTCCAGGGGCCACCATCTCCCTGAGACCTACACACGCGTGCATGCGCACGTACCCCAACAATATGCATAAGGCTTGCTATGGAGACGGATTGAGTTTTGATAACTTAGAAGGAAGGTAAAGCCAAAAAGGAAGGTGACAGGAAGAGACCAAGGCACAATGAGAAAAGGAGTCAAAATGAGGAAAGAGAAGCACAGAGAATTCATTTAGGAAAAAAAGTTGGGAAAAAAAGGTCAGTCACAGAAGGAGCAGGATATGAGACACAAGGTTGAAAACCAGTGTCAGCCCTTCCTAGCCCAGATGTAGCCCGCCAGGCCCAAACCTGCCTCCAGCTATCTGCAGGCTGCCTAACTCTCTACCAGAACCAGCTGCATGATGGCAGGTCACTACCTCAACAGCTTTCAACGTGTATTCCGAAAGAGTGTGTGTGTGTGTGTTCGTTTGTTCATTTGTTTGTGACGGAGTCTCGCTCCATCACCCAGGCTGGAGTGCAGTGGCGCGATCTCGGCTCACTGCAACTTCTGCCTCCAGGGTTCAAGCAGTTGTCCTGCCTCAGCCTCCCGAGTAGCTGGGATTACAGGCACCTGCCACCACACCTGGCTAACTTTTTGTATTTTTAGTAGAGACAGGGTCTCACCATGTTGGCCAAACTGGTCCTGAACTCCTGACCTCAAATGATCCACCCACCTCGGCCTTCCAAAGTCTTGAGATTACAGGTGTGAGCCACCATACCTGGCCCCAAAAAGTTTTAAAACAATGTTTTTTGTTGTTTCTTTGTGCTGTCTTTCCAGAGAGACCAGGCTGTGTAAGGGTGTCACCTGTCCAGGTCTCTGGATCATGAGGCTGTATCTTCTACTGACCCAACACCCTAGATACCGGCCCTGTTCCTCATCTGCAGCCTGATATGAAATTCCTAAAATGAGGCTGGGCCTAGTGGCTCACGCCTGTATTCCCAGCACTTTGGGAGGCTGAGGTGGGTGTATCACCTGAGGTCGGGAGTTCGAGACCAGCCTGACCAACATGGAGACACCCCTTCTCTACTAAAAACACAAAATTAGCCGGGCGTGGTGGCGCATGCCTGTAATCCCAGCTCCTCGGGAGGCTGAGGCAGGAGAATCGCTTGAACCCGGGAGGCGGAAATTGCGGTGAGCCAAGATGGCGCCACTGCACTCCAGCCTCAGCAACAAGAGCGAAACTCCGTCTCAAAAAAGGGCGGGAGGGAGGGAGAAAGGAAGGGAAATTCCTAAAATGGCCCATGTTCCACCAGCCTCACACACTGCCTCTGCAGATCTTAACCCACGACTCACTGAACTGAACCTGCCACTCCCCTCACCGACATAGGTGCCGGTCGTGAAGACTCTTCCGGGAACCTCTCAGGAGCCGTCCCCCATCCCTCCCGGCGCGGCACAGCCTGCAAACCCGGCCGTCTCACTGACGACAGAATTTGGAGAAGACCAGGCACTTACGGTCATGACTCTGTCGACGCGACGCCGGAGGATGTGCACCCAGCGCGCCTGTCCGGAATACTGGGCCATGTAGGGCTCCAGGTCTGGCCACTTCTTGTTCCGTTCACGGTTCACCAGGGCCAGCTCGCTATTGAACAGCATGTAGAGATCCACCGCCTTCTTGTCATAAGTCCGCTTGATAGCCTAGGGAAGAAGAGGAAGAGGCTGGCGACGTGCCCGGGAAGGCGGGTTCCCTCCGGTCACTCATCCCCGAGGAAAGCTGCACCCCGCTGCGGGAGTCACACTCCCGGGGACGCCGAAGCCAGGGAACAGAAGAAAGACAAGAGGCGCCCGAATTCTGGACATGGAGAAGGGCACACGTGGAGGCAGGAGGGCCTCCGGAAGGCTGGGAAGGGACTCCAAGAAAGCACGCGGGACGGAAAGCCGAGGAGGCCGCGGGGCAGCCGCACCTCGCGGGCAGCAAGCCTGTGGAAGGTGTCCAGCAGGAGCACGCCGTGCTGTACGTCCCGCACCAACTCGAAGGCCGAGGTGATCAGGTTCTGGGTCATCACCTCCAGGTCCTTGATTCCGGCCCGGAACCTGCATCGGTGGAGAGGCATGGGGCAGCTGAGTGCCCTCGCCTGACCGGGGGTCCACCCCCGAGGAAGAATCCCATGCGTTGCTGAGGAGGGAGGGTTTCCTGTGTGCGGGCCCTCTAAGTACTTTAACCTACACGAATCCATTTAATCCTCAAAACAATGCTGTGAGATGGGCTCTATCGCCAACTGTATTGCATAGAGGAGGAAGTGGAGACAGCTGATGGAGTAATTTGCCCAATGTAATATATCTGGTATGTGGCAGAACCAAGATCTAAGTCCGGAAAGGCTCACTCTGGAACCCTCAACCCGAGTTGCCACCCCCCTCCCCTGCACTCTCTCCTGTCCCCACTTCCCCACCACCCTGATCCCAATCTGTCCTTCCACCATTTATTTTGCACACTCTTGCCACTCCTCCTACTCTTGGTTCCCTGATGTGCCTTCCCTGCCCACGCCTGGCATCAGCCTGTGGTTCCCTCACTTATTGTAGTCTTCATGCCAAGAGGTGTTCTTCACATCCAGGATGCCCCCGCGAACAGCTCGCAGCATGTGCAGGTTTTTATGAAAGATGTCCTCAATCTCCAGCAAATTCCGTGTTATCTGTGGCCCCTGGGCACCGAAGAAGCAAGGAAGGGGACCCTGCTTGCCATCTTCCCAGCGGGCGAAGTGATACTGACAGTCACATACCTAAAAAGAAGCCAGCGTGAGGGTTCCTGCTTTCCTTCCAAACTCGAAAGTCCTAACGTATTTGGTTTAGCTTCAAATGTCTAAAAACATCACTGCAAGTGACGGCAAGTGAAAAAAAAAGAAAATAAAAAAGAAAATATCTAAAAACCAGGGAGGGCCAACCAGCTGCCGGGGGCTGTTGGAATGAACTTTGCCCGCAGAATGAAATATGAGATAGTAGGGCAGCAATAAGAGGCAAATGCCAGAAAAAGCAGTGTGGTGGTAGGACACACAATTGTGCAGGAAAAGCCAATGTGGTGAGTGTAATTTTTTGTTTTGTTTTGTTTTGTTTTGTTTTTTGAGACGGAGTCTCTCTCTGTTGCCCAGGCTGGAGTGCAGCAGCACGATCTCGGCTCACTGCAACCTCCGCCTCCCCGGTTCAAGAGATTCTTGTGCCTCAGCCTCCCAAGCAGTTAGGATTACAGGTATGTTTCACCATGTTGGCCAGGCTGGTCTCGAACTCCTGGCGGCAGGTGATCCACCTGCCTCAGCCTCCCAAAGTGCTGGGATTACAGGTGTGAGCCACCGCACCCTGCCATAAGTTCAATATTTAGCCTCTGCCCCGTTTCCCCTGGTTCCTGGGGTGGGGGGTGGGGAGGGATTCTGGAGGGTCTGCTGTTAGCTTTTGGTTCTTCAGTCTTCTCACCTCAATAAGGTCCTTGCAGCGCTGCACGAAGGCATCAACCTGAGCAAAGATGCTGGTCTGGTCTAGGACCCAGCCCCGACTGGAGAACCTGTGTCAGGAGAAAGGCTGACTGAATCGGAAGGCAAGAGCACAGTCTAGCTATGTAAAGCTAGACCAGGAGCCCTACATTCAGGGAAAGCCCTAGAAAACCAGACTCCGAGAAACAACTCTGCTGAATCCCAAAGGAAGAGACTCAGGGGGAGAAGAACCAGACAGGAGACAGAGCATCTAAGTTCTAGGAGCCGATTCATACATAACGGAATTTTAGACGATGGGGTCAAGATAGGAGGAAAAGACCAGATAGGGTTCCTGGGATCAGGGAGGAGAGATTATTAAAATAAGGAGAAGCCAGGGCAATGAGCTACAGTATCTGTATCCAGAGAGAAAACTTGGCCAGATGTAGAAACTCCTGGGTCTAGGAAAATACAACCAAGAGGCTAAATAAAGTGCACACGAAAGAAGTCAGACTCTACCGTCTTACAAGGATGACAAGGGAGTTGAGATATGGGGTGTTACGGGAGGCATGTCATACTCGGTGTGCATCTGCACGGCCTGTAGGTAGTGATCTTTCCAAGCATGACAACAGAGGATGCAGCCTTGCAGGTCCTCCTTGCTGGAAGAGACATATCCCTCAAAGATCCGGTCCAGGGAGATGGCGTGGCAGCATAAGCGGATGATCTCATTGCTCATCTGCGGAAGGAGTCCCCACAGCCTCTGTCCCCGCCTCCTTGACACCCAAGTCCTTCTCTGCATCCCCTGCCCGTGCCTCGTGTCTCAGCCCCCTACTCCTTGATTTGAATCCTGAAACTCATCCCACCCCTGGTTCTCCACCCCTGACCACACTAACACCTCTGGTTCCATGCCCACTCCTTGTCCTAGGTGGCCCCTTACTCTGCCTCAGCCCAGCTCTGCAGCCGCCCTGCCCAGCAAGGTCTCAGCTCAGTGTCCCTTCTCCCACTCTTTGGCTCTGTCACCCCCAGTGAATGCACCAGGCCCTGCTCCTCAAGAGCCCGTGCTGCTTCCTAAAGCCCTCTCTCCCCCACTGCAATCTCCATCTTGAGGAATGAGAAGAGCTTTGTCTTCCGCACAGCTCAGCTTGGGGGTCTGTTCTTCCTGCTGCTTCCCCGTGTTCCACCAACTCCTCTTCTGAAGCCCCTCTTCCTACCTAAGCCACCTCCACCTAGAAACAGAAAGTCCAGCCCAGGCTGCGATGCGGAGCAACCCTAAAGCAGATGATGCTGGTAGAAGCCTTCGGTCTCTGAGCAGAAAGGTCAACCTTCACTACCTTTTCAACCACAGATCCTCTGCCAAATGCATTGCCCCTGCTTCAGAAAACCTGGCCACCCTCGTAAACCCCTCCACCCCGCCCTCGGCATATGCACACCTTTCGGAATAGTGAGGTCAGTCTCTCCCGAGTGTTGTAGTGGGGAGAGTTAACCCAGATGATGCGGATGAGACTGATCAGCTTAGGGAGCTTGCTAGAGATGTCCTTGGGCTTCATGAAAGCCAACTCCTGGTAAGGTTCCTTCAGGATTGACAAAAAGGTCAGGTTTGACTGTGCTTGACGCGAGCCATCCTGGCAGTAAAAAGAGACGAGAAGTAGATTTATGCACCGGAAAGCACTGATTCAACACAAGTGCTTTTTTTTTTTTTGAGACAGAGTTTTGCTCTTGTCACCCAGGCTGGAGGGCAATGGTGAGATCTCGGCTCACTGCAACCTCCACCTCCCGGATTCAAGCAATTCTCCTGCCTCAGCCTCCCGAGTAGCTGGGATTACAGGCACTCACCACCACGCCCAGCTAATTTTTGTATTTTTAGTAGAGATGGGGTTTCACCATGTTAGCCAGGCTGGTCTGGAACTCCTGACTTCAGGTGATCCCCTCGCCTCGGCCTCCCAAGAGCTGGGATTATAGGTGTGAGCCACCACGCCCGGCCCACAAGTGCTTTTTAACCACCTTCAACCCCATCCTGACTTGCCTGTACGAGGAAGCCCTCCCATCAGCCCTACACAGTAGCGATCATTTCAGGTCTCTGTGAGCCCTCAGAGCAGAGTTAGCACATGTCAGTTTTTCTGTCTTTTCTCATGTGTGTGTCCCAGCTCCCCCACCAGACTGAGAATTCCCTCGAGTCTAGATTTTTCTAGATTTTGTGTCTATTCCTGTTCTCTCCAGTTGAATTCAGGACTCTGCACTAAGCGGACACTCTGTTGCTGTTGATCAACTGGCCGCACATCACTCTCATTTGTCCCCATAGTTGTCACCCAGTTCCCCTCACTGCCCTGTTCTCAGCCAGGACTTTAGGCTTCTCCAGTTAGTTCTGGCTCAATTCCCTTAATACCTAACCGAAAATTTCACCTAGGAAAACAGGTCTTCTATCTGTACTCTACAGGCCACTCTTACCTCCTGTGTGACCTAGCACCAGCATAATCAGCTTGTCACATCATATCAATTTTTTTTTAATGTTTATTGGCCAGGTGTAGTGGCTGACACCTATAATCTCAACACTTTGGGAGGCCAAGGATCACCAGGAGTTTGAGACCAGCCTGGACAACATAATGAGATCCTACCTCTACAAAAAAATTAAAAATTAGGCCAGGTGAAGTGGCTCATGCCTGTAATCCCAGCACTTTGGGAGGCCAAGGCGGGCAGATCACGAGGTCAGGAGATCGAGACCATCCTGGCTAACACCATGAAACCCCGTCTCTACTAAAAATACAAAAAATTAGCTGGGCATGGTGGCATGCGCCTGTAATCCCAGCTACTCAGGGGGCTGAGGCAGGAGACTCGCTTCAACCTGGGAGGCAGAGGCTGCAGTGAGCTGAGATCACGCCATTGCACTCCAGCCTGGTCGACAGAGCAAGACTGTCTCAAAAAAAAAAAAAATTAACAATTGGGCTGGGTGAGGTAGCTCACGCCTATAATCCCAAAACTTTGAGAGGCTGAAGTGGGTGGATCGCTTGAGCTCAGGAGTTCGAGACCAGCCTGGGCAACATAGCAAAATTCTGTCTCTACAAAAAATACAACAGTTAGCTGGGCATGCTGGTGCGCACCTGTAGTCCCAGCTACTTAGGAGGCTGATGTGGGAGGATCCCTTGAGCCCAGGAGGCAGAGGTTGCAGTGAGTGGAGATCACACCACTGCACTCCAGCCTCCAGCACACTGTCTCAAAAGAAAAAAAAAGAAAAGGAAAGAAAAAGAACCAGGTGCAGTGGCTCACACCTGTAATCCCAGCACTTTGGGAGGCCGAGGTGGGTGGATCACGAGGTCAGGCGTTTGAGACCAGCCTGACTAACATGGTGAAACCCGGTGTCTACTAAAAATACCCAAATTAGCCAGGCATGGTGGCGGGCACCTGTAATCTCAGCTACTTGGGAGGCTGAGGCAGGAGAATCGCTTGAACCT